TCATGTTAGTTAAGTTTTGAAGTAACGAAAAATCAGAACAAAGCATTACACTTTATTCATTCTGATTTTAAAATAGTTTGTAAAGTTGACTTTTAAATGTTGAAAATGGCTGGGCATGGTGGCTCACACCTGTAATCCTAGCACTTTGGTAGGGTGAGACAGGTGGATCGCTTGCGCTCAGTTTGAGATCAGCCTGGACAACATGACAAAATCCTGTCTCTAGAAAAAATACAAAAGTTAGCTGGGTGTGGTGGTACATTCCTGGAGTCCCAGTTACTCGGGAGGCTGAGGTGGGAGGATCACCTGAGCCTGGGAGGCAGAGACTGCAGTGAGCTTTGATCGTGCCACAGCACTCCAGCCAGGACAATGGAGTGAGACGTTGTCCCAAAACAAACAAATAAAAAAAGAAAGGAAAAGAACAAATTAAATGTTGAAGATACAACACAATTGAGAAACTACTTGCTCTTCTGTGCTTTTATGAGAAGAATCAGCATTACGCTGCAAACACAGTACCAGAGCAACTATCTTTACCTCATGCTCAGTGTCTTTGTATTTGCACACATTTGAATTTATGTTACATGTGGCCAATTCATAATTGTTAGGAAATGGCTTCGAAAGTTGGTTGGTCAACTGGACAAGGTGGCTTATGCCTGTAATCCCAGCATTTTGGGAGGCAAAGTCGAGTGGATCACCTGAGGTCAGGGGTTTGAGACCAGCCCAGCCAAAATGGTGAAACCCATTCTCTACTAAAAATACAAAAATTAGCAGGGTGTAGTAGAGCACACCTGTAGTCCCCAGCTACTTGGGAGGCTGAGGCAGGAGAATCACTTGAACCTGGGAGGCGGAGGTTGCGGTGAGCCATGGTCATACTGCAGCTTGGCAACAGAGTGAGATTTTTTTTTTTTTCAAAAGCAACAAAAAAACAAAAAGAAAGTTGGCTGGTCTTCCTGGCCTCTTTCTTTCCTTCTCCCTGTTCCAGAGTTCATGAGCACACCCACAGGCTGGGTAAGTGGTTAAAAAAAAATGGAAACATAAAAATCAGTTTGTTTTGCTTTTTGTAAGCAGTTGTGTTAAAAGATTTGAGTGAAGGGAGAATGAGCAGTGGATAATCCATTAAAACTCTGTGCCTCTCTACTTTCTGCTGGGGCAATTACCATAAAGGAAAATTGTTGGGTCCTGATCCTCCTGCCCCTCCACCCTGAGAAACTGTCATCTATGCTCCTGAGTTGGGCTGAGAATGGCCCTGACTGGGTAGGGGACTGGCTCGTGAAAGAATTGGCTTTCAAAATCTCCCATTTGCTTCCCCACTTCCTACAGTCACATAAGTCAGATCTTTCCCAAATAGACCTATTGATGAAGAAATGAGGCCAAATTAACATGAAGTATCATTATGAGAAAGAAATAGCCAGTGATACCAACACTTACGAGACCAGGGCAGCTTTGCCAGATATATTAAGGTTTCTTTTTTGCCTAACCAATAAAATTAACTGCTTTATAAGAACCAGTCCAGGTTGGGCGCAGTGGTTCATGCCTGTAATTCTAACACTTTGGGAGGCCAAGGTGGGAGGATTGATTGAGTTCAGGAATTCAAGACAAGCTTGGGCAGCATAGTGAAATCTCATCTCTACTAAAAATAAAAATAAAAATAAAAATAAATTACCTGGGTGTGGTGGCACATGCCTGTAGTCCAGCTACTTAGGAGGCTCAAGGGGGAGGATTGATTGAGCCCACGAGTTTGAGGCTGCAGTGAGCTATGGTCACTCCAGTGCACTCCAGCCTGGAACAACAGAGTGAGACCTTGTCTCCAAAAACAAATGAACAAAACAACCAGCAAATCAAAAAAAGTAGTCCAGATTTTCTCAGACTGAACTTGTAGAAACTACCAAAAGACTCTTTGGCTCTAAGCTTCAGGGTCTTGGAGAGGTGCAGTGTTAACAGTTCAGATGATCATTTCATTTTTTTTGAAACGGAGTTTTGCTCTTGTTACCCAGGCTGGAGTGCAATGGCGCGATCTCAGCTCACCACAACCTCCGCCTCCTGGGTTCAAGCAATTCTCCTGCCTCAGCCTCCTAAGTAGCTGGGATTATAGGCATGCGCCACCATGCCCAGCTAATTTTTTGTATTTTTTTTAGTAGATACGGGGTTTCACCATGTTGACCAGGATGGTCTCAATCTCTTGACCTCGTGATCCACCTGCCTCGGCCTCCCAAAGTGCTGGGATTACAGGCTTGAGCCACCTCGCGTGGCCCGATCATTTCAATTTTTATTCAAGTGTGTTCATGTCTACAGCCTTCTTTTGAAGCCTCTGAGACTGTGATTCTGGGACTCCTGTAACTTCGAATGGAAAAATGAAAGCAGAGAAACAATTTTGAGACTTAATATTAAGGCTGAGCACAGTAACTCATGCCTATAATCCTAGCACTTTGGGAGGCTGAGACGGGCGAATCACTTGAGGTCAGGAGTTCAAAACCAGCCTGTCCAACATGACAAAACCCCATTTCTACTAAAAATGCAAACAATTAGCCAGGCATAGTGGTGCCCGCCTGTAGCCCCAGCTATTCAGGAGGCTTAAGGCATGAGAATCACTTGAACCTGGGAGGTGGAGGTTGCAGTGAGCTGAGATTGCGCCACTGCACTGCACTCCAGCTTGGGTGACAAAGTGACACCCTGTCTCAAAAAATAAAAAAGAGCCAAACAGAGGATATATAGCTTAGATAATGATTTTTTCATATGTTTATGAAAATCCTTATTATTTATAAATTTATCTCCTTTCTACTCCACGTGTTCTTTTTTCCATAGAACCTACCACAATGCAAGCAGTCAATAAATATTTGTTGGAAGAATGAATGAATGCATAAATTCATCATGATCAGCTATTGCTGGTCCAGAGCAAGATAAGCCAAGGTCAAAGAATAGGTGACACAAGAGGAGATAATTTCCTCTTGACATTAGGACTGAGTTTCTAAGAGGCCTTCCTGCTTATCTGAGTGATGTCTAAGTTCTTAGGCGATGTGATTTACACTAACCTTACTTCTTACCAAGGAACAGTGATTGGTTATAGAAATACCCAAGTAATTCAGACCCATATATGTCCATTTCTGCACAATATTTTGCCTTGTTGTCAAACCCTTGTTCATCCCCCTAATTCTGGAAGAGCTGGTGGAAGGAAAGACACTGTCATGTCCACTTCCTTCCTGACTTGGACTCCTTTCTAAGGGTTGGTGTTTATTTCTTAGTGACAACGGGGGTTTAAGGGGGCACATGCATATTTCCTGAGTATTTATAGGGTGCGGGGAATGATAACAAGAGCAGGCATGAAGCCACAGACAGTGCTGTCTTCATTAAGACCAGGCTACCTACCTAGAATAGAAAAACTGGCTAAACTGAAGGGTCAGCTTTTAATAGGCTCAAAAGGTAACAGGGAGAAGCAGTAATCGTCCAAACTCATGTTGAGCTCTGAGGGGAAATCACATTTCTGGGTGCAGCTGAATCACACATACATATATTACAGCAGTCCCCAATCTTCCTGGCACCAGGGACTGGTTTTGTGGAAGATAATTTGTCCACGGATGGGGTGTGAGTCAGGGGCGATGGTTTCAGGATGATTCAAGCACATTACATTTATTGTGTACTTTATTTCTATGGTTATTACATACTCACCATAGTGTAGAATCAGTGGGAGCCCTGAGCTTGTTTTTCAACTAGACAGTCCCATCTCAGGGTGATGGGAAACAGTGACAGATCATTGAGCATTAGATTCTCATAGGGAGTGCACAACCTAGATCCCTCACATGCGCAGCTCACAGTAGGGTTTGGGATCCAGTGATAATCTAGTGCCGCCACTGATCTGACAGGAGGCAGAGCTCAGGCAGTAATGCGAGTGATGGGGAGCACCTGTAAATACAGATGAAGCTTCCCCGACTTGCCTACTGCTTACCTCCTGCTATGTGGCCTAGTTCCTAACAGGCCACGGCTGGTACTGCTCTGTGGCCTGTGGTTTGAGGACCCCCCCGTCCTAGGAGATCTGTGAGCAATGTCTGAAGTGTTAGTCAAGGGAAATGGAGCTCATCCTTCCAAGGCTGAGGCCAGACCTTGGCTTGCCCATTGCAGAGGATAATTCTCTGGGCTCTAAGATGTGGCTTTGCTTCCTCATAACCTGTTTTTTTGTTTTTTGTTTTTTTTAGTGTCTAAGTAGTAAGTAAGTGTAATTAGCTTCTCTTAAAAGCCTTTTGGGCCAGGCATGGTAGCTCATGCCTGTAATCCCAGCACTTTGGGAGGCCAAGGTGGGAGGATCACCTGAGGTCAGGAGTTCGAGACCAGCCTGAACAACATGGTGAAAACCCGTCTCTTTAAAAAATACATAATAAAAAAAAAGCCTTTGGAAGTACTTTTATGTCATAAGAATAGAAGCAATGGAGATAATTTCCTTCCTTCACTGTTCGGTCTTTGGCCCAGGTTCACTTTCAGCACACCAGAGATGTTGCTCATGGTCGTCTGTGTGTATCTGGGTTCAGTTCTTGGATTCACTGTTCATGCAGGGTCATTTGCAGTCTCCTCCATCCTCCTCCCACCTTCTGTTCCCTATCTTTCATGTCAGCCAGTTAGACTGTACCTCATCCTTTGAAGGGAACTGGGAGTCTTTCTTTTGCTCTCATTTTCCCCAGTATGTAGACACTAGCAATGGCAAGGTGGTTTACCATTCACCATTAATAAACATTTTACTAGGGGTTTAATCATCAACATGTTATTTCCTGTTTTTCTCACATCAATGTGAAAACTACCTTTGTCTCTCTAGTGACAATTTGCTGATGTGACACGATGACTGGAAACTCTTCAGCTTTTGATAAAATTGATTAACTGACTTCTCAGTGTTGACCTCTAGGGATGTCTTGGAACTCATTCAGCTGTCCAAAAAAAAAAGAAACAAAAAACAAACCGGGGTTAGACTGAAGCAGGGGTGAGACTAGGAAGGCATTTGCTTTGAAAGACTGTAGTTTCAAAGCAAACAGTAGCAGTATCGTAGCCAATGAGGTTTATCTGAGGCACGATCATTGCTAATTGAAAACTTTGCCCAATACCCTGCTGTGATGACTTGCAATACAGTCGACATTGGCAATTTTTGACAGTCTCTAAGGAGACTGATTATAAAAAAATAAATAAATAAATAAAACAAAAAAATAAGAAAAAAATAATTAGAAAAAAACAAAGACTATAATTTCTATTGAAACATACAGTTTGTTGATGGTCTTCATCCATTAGTATTTACATTTCTTTGTCAATGTCTAGAAAATATGTGATTCTAACAAAATTCTCTGATTTCAAAATATTATTTTTCCCTCAAAGACCATCAGAGAGTCTCACTACTACATGTGAGAGGTGCTCTCATGTTTCTTTATTAATTTAAGTCTTGACTTGGGCATTATATTTTATGCTAAGGTAAAATATGTTCCTTCTTAGTTACCCCATTTAAACCTACGGGGGATTCCAAAAGGTTGTTTTCAAAAGATTACCTTTAAAATGCCAGGATGTGTGTGCTTAGAGATATGCATTTGTAAATTTCAAAAAGTAGAGGCAAAAGTAAAATGAATGGTTATGATTGTCTTTCTGATTGTCTTTCTGTCAATCTGGAAGGCATTACAGAAGGTCCTTCACTTACGATCATTCAACTTAAGATTTTTCAACTTTACCATGATATGAAAACAATACACATTCAGTAGAAACTGTCCTTCGAGTGCCCATATAACCATTCTGTTTTTCACTTTCAGTACAGTATTAATAAATTACATGAAATATTCAACACTTTGTTATAATGTAGGCCTTGTGCTAGATAATTTTGTTCAGCTGTAGGCTATTACTAGTGTTCTGAGCACATTAAAGCTAGGCTAGGATAAGCTATGATGTTTGGTAGGTAAAGTGTGTTAAATACAGTTTTGGACCAGGCGTAGTGGCTCATGCTTGTAATTCCAGCACTTTGGGAGGCCGAGGAAGGAGGATTGCTTGAGCCTAGGAGTTTAAGACCAGCCTGGGCAACACAGTGAAACCTCATCTCTACTAAAAATATAAAAAAGTAGCCTGCAGCTGCAGGTGTAGTGGTACACACCTGCAGTCCCAGCTACCTTTTTGGGAGGCTGTGGTTGGGGAATCACTTGAGCCTGGGAAGTTGCTATAATGAGCCATGATCACACCACTGCACTCCAGCCTGGGTGACAGAGTGAGACCTGTTCCAAAAAATAAAATAAAAAAATTTTAAAAATTGACAACAATATTTTCAGCTTACAATGGGTTTACTGGGACATAACTCCATCACAAGTTGAGGAGCTTGTTCATATTTCTCACCATGGTGGAGTTTTCTGAAATGAGATTGAGTGCCGAGTTCTGCTCTGGTAGAGCTGAAAAGAATAATAAGCTGGAGCCACAGCAATCTATTTATATTGGCTCAATTCCAGGAAGATGAGAACATGGAATTCAGTGTTTGCTGGAAGAAATAACACCTATGTTAAACCAGGTGATTACCAAAAGGGACCAAGAAAAATGAAAAATAAATTAACAACCCTAACTTCCAACAACTCTAACTGGTTTAGTACAAAGTACTGAGTTGGTGGGCACTTTCCACAAATTGCCTGTATAGATGTACTGGCTCGATGAATAAATTCAGAAAGAAGGCTTTGCCCGGGGTATACCACACTATGAAATTTGAATGATTTTTCTGGAACAGGAAAATGATGGTTTGGGGATTTTTTTTTTTAGATGAAATTTTGCTCTGTCACCCAGGCTCGAGTGCAATGGTATGATCTTGGCTCACTGCAACCTCCGGAGTAGCTGGGATAACAGGCATGCCTTGGCCTCCTGAGTAGCTAGGATTACAGGCATGCCTCAGCCTCCTGAGTAGCTGGGATTATAGGCATGCCTCAGCCTCCTGAGTAGCTGGGATTACAGGCTTACCTCAGCCTCCTGAGTAGCTGGGATTACAGGCATGTGCCACCATACCCTGCTAATTTTTGTATTTTTAGTAGAGGCGAGGTTTTGCCACGTTGGCCAGCCTGGTCTTGAACGCCTGACCTCAGATGATCCTCCTGCCTCGGCCACCCACAGTGCTGGGACAACAGGTGTGAGCCACCTTGCCCAGCTACAAGATCTCGCTTCTAATCACTATTCTGCCACTTATATAGCTGTGTGACTTTGGGCAGATTGCTTAATTTCTCTCTCTGCCTTGGATTACTTGCCTGTACTGGGGAGTAACAGGGCCTATAAGTTACTGTAATGATCCAAACGAAATATGTAAAGTTATGATTTTTATGTATGTAAATGTCATGTATATTTAGCAATGAAGGCTATTATAAGGTAAAAGAAAAGGGTAATGTAAGGTAAAATAAGAGCATTTTAGAAGGAAAAGTTCTTTGAAATTTTTGAAAGTTAGGCACTCATCAGTAAATACTTAGCATCTGATTTGATCAGTAAAATATTGGCCAAGGATGAATCCAACTTAAATAAGCAACTTTGCCTGGTATCAAAAAGACAGCTACTTTATTTACAGAGATGGTAGTGAGCAGCATATTTGCTCATGGCTAACAACAAATTCCTAAATCAAATTAGATGGAAAGGCCCAACATTAGAAGATTCTGGCTGGGCGTGGTGGCTCACACCTGTAATCCCAGCTCTTTGGGAGGCCGAGGCAGGCGGATCACAAGGTCAAGAGATCGAGACTACTCCAGCCAACATGGTGAAACCCCGTCTCCACTAAAAATAGAAAAATTAGCTGGGCGTGGTGGCGCATGCCTGCGATCACAGCTACTCAGGAGGCTGAGGCAGGAGAATCGCTTGCACCCGGAGGTTACCGGAGACAGAGGTTACAGTGAGCCAAGATTGCACCATTGTACCCCAGCCCGGTGACTGAGAGAAACTCCGAAGATTCTGTGTGCGTATGGGCGTATAAGTAAGTGCAGGTGTTAGGGATGGTGGCTTTTCCATAGCTGTATAATTTTTTCCTTAAATTATTTTGACCTCTTAGTTATCCATCTAGTGGACAGGTGCCTTCATTATTTTTATTTTTTATTTTTTTGAGACACAGCCTTGCTCTGTTGCCCAGGCTGGAGTGCAGTGGTGCGATCTCGGTTCACTGCAACCTCCGCCTCCCGAGTTCAAACGATTCTACTGCCTCAGCCTCCCAAGTAGTTGGGACTACAGGCACCTGCCACCATGCCCTGTTAATTTTTGTCTTTTTAGTAGAGATGAGATAGGGTTTCACCATGTTGGCCAGGCTGGTCTCGAATTCCTGACCTAAATGATCCACCCACCTCAGCCTCCCAAAGTGCTGGGATTACAGGCACGCGCCACCATGGCCAGCTAATTTTTTGTATTTTTAGTAAAGACGGGGTTTCACCATGTTGACCAAGATGGTCTCCATCTCTTGACCTCGTGATCCACCCGCCTCGGCCTCCCAAAGTGCTGGGTTTACAGGCTTGAGCCACCGCGCCCGGCCGGATACTTTTTAAAGATTCCAATTCTCCTCTTTCCAGACACCTAGAAGGAATATGCTTCTCTACTTCTATGAAGTTAGGCATGTCTACATAATTTGACTTGGCAAATGAAATGTGAGAGTAAATAATGAGACTCACCTCTCATTTCCTCTGCGTTGGTCACCAAAGAAGAACATACTGAGATGGAATCTACATTAGCCAGCACCCGCCAGCTGGTGTGAGACATGTATTGTGAATCAGAAACAAATTGTCAGCCAGTGAGATTGAGGGGTTGTTTGTTATTAAAGTAGAAGCTAGACTACCCTGACTGATGCAGGCCGTGGAGGGCCAGGTATCTACTTGTGGATGGACACGGATTCAGAAGTAGCCCGTGACACAGCTGAACTTTACAGTCTGATGCGAAACAACTGAACAGGTTGATGCTTAAAGAACGACTCTTCAAAGATGAGAACAGCCCACAAGCAAAACAAAACAACACAAAAGGAAAATTCTTCAGAAGCTACGTTCCAAGAGCCCTTTTGTTGCTAATGGGACTTTCTCTCCCTCCAGCTACTGCCCCGCATGGAAGGTTGATCCATTCACTTTCTCCTTTACCATCTCTGATTCATACAACTATAATTGTCGAAAAGATATTGTGGACTAATGACATCTTTTATGATTGCTTTCTACATCCCCCTTCCTTGCCAACTCCCTCTGCCTCTCTACTTCCTTCCTTCCTGAAAAGAATGAAATGATAGAGTATGCCTACTTTGTGCCAAGCATTGTTTAAATTTCTAGAAGTGCAAAGCCAAAGGATTGTGATTTGGCTCCAGGTGAGCTTCCATCTAGTTAATGGTATAGTCTAACCTCTTTAAACAAATACTACTAATATAAAGTGGTGACTGCTATACAGGTACTTGAGATATTTACAAAATAACATCTAGGCTCCCAAAGAACATGGAGTGGCCATCATCTCATGTGGCTAAGCCGTGAACTTTATACAGGCCTCTAGCCCAAATCAATGCAAACAACACGTAATTATCTTAGTAAGAGCTGCAGTTAGTAGGAGTCTTTCAAAACTCAGCTAAGTCTTAAGTTTGTGCAAGTCTTGAGTAAGCAAGAGACCATTATTTTGAAACAGAAAAATAGTTAAATAAGAAGAGTATTTGAGGAATGTGTGAGAACTGCCTATTCAACTCTGTTGGGCCAGTACATACATCTTTCCAACTCACATGACCTTCTCCCTGTTGGCACAATCGATCATATCTGAAAATGACGATATATGGAAATAATCAAATAACAAAGAAGAGAGATAAACATTGTCAAGTGACTTGGGCTGTAGCCAGGAACTGACAATGTTAAAAAAAAACATTTTGCAGAAGATTTTACATTTAATAGCTGTAAACTGTGACCGATCATGAGAATTTATTTTTAAACATGTTTCATTAGTTCAAGGTAGAATGACAATAAATGTGAAGAACATGCCTGGGATGTGTTGTTTTTGTTTCTTCTTTTTTGCTTTTATTCAGCAAAGCATACATTTTTTTTCCCCAAAACATAAAATCATTCAGCAAAAACACCAAGCAAAGAACAATAACAAAAAACAGCACACATGCCACAAAGCAAACCAAACATAGCTGTTTCTCTACTGATCACATATTTTGTCTTTGAATTTTGGCATG